AAATGCTGAGTCCTTACCCTATACCAGGCAATGTACCAAGATCCTTGAACATAATATCATATTCTTAGCAATCACAGTCTCTACCCATTAGGCTATCAGCAAAAGATCAGATTTTTCCAATGAGCTCTATCCTTTATGTAAATATAGCCTCATAAAATTATTTGAAAGTTAAATGTCTGATGATCTGCCCTGCATGCTTTTAACCTCACAAAGAGAAATTCAAGTTTATAAAACTTTTGGGGAATTTATCGTTTAATTTCCCAAAGCTAGGGCCCAAATGATTAGATCAAACTTGTCAAGTTCACCTTCTATGAAACATCGTGGTTGACAGTTCATGAACCTGGAATCCAGGTGTCAAACATGCAAGCATGTAGATGTCCAGTCCCTTAAAGTCACACACTGTCACTTTTTTCCCACCTGTGGCTTTCTACCCTGCTGATTATTATTTCCAATTTCAGGTTAACCTTAACCTAAAACCAACCATTTGCTCAATGAGGAAGAGAATTTATTCTTGGTGTAAAATAAAATGGAAACCCCTCTTCCCCCTGGTGATGGATGACCTTTCTGGAAGGTCCAGGCATTCTCTTCCTAAAGGTCCATCACAAAACTCACCCCATGTTCTCAAAGAAAGCAGAAGGAAATAGTTCTGAATACAAGGGAGAGGTCTAATGAGCCTCAGTATGTCCCAAGCCAGTCACCCACACTGATTATGTAAAAATACATTTTGCGTCTGGTATTTGATTTGCCACACAGTTTAACAGAAAAGTGACTTTATCTATTTTTTCCAATTAAAGGAACTAATGTTACAATCAATAATTCCTCCTGCTCTGGTATGCTAAATTAATGTCTGTCTGTTGTTTTTAAATCACAAAGTGAACATTGCTATCGAAATATAAAATGGTACTATTTCATTTTAATCTATTTAGTTTTCCATCTTGAATTACATAATGGGGTTAAAACATTGAATAGAATTAATAGAATGATTATTTAATTAAGCAATAATGAGTTTCTAAATGGATGCTCAAGGAAACTGGCTTTGTAGTTTATGCAAGAATCAGATAATGGTTTTAACAAAGACTATAATAATTTTGTTGAATGTTTTCTATATTTAAAGATTTTTTTTTCTGAATTCTTTCAAGAGTAGATTTAAACATAACCCAGTTTCTTGACTAGACTCCACTTTACTTTCAAGGTAAATTCCAAATGCCTTTCTCTGACCCCCAAAGTGCTGCCTGACCTGACTCTATCCTCCTCTGGAGCCCAATGGCAAACAGTTTTCTCTAGCCCTTCCCTGCACTCCAGCCACACCCACCTTCCCTCGGTTCTACAAATGTACCATGCTCCCTCCACCACTGCCCCTTATTAACTCCCCATCTGCTTTCAGTTCTCAGGGAATTCCTCCCTAATGACTCTCCCCAGACTGGGCACCCAGACCCTCTCACCACTCCCCTTTCAAGCAACAGGCTCAGTGTTACTTTTTTCCCAACATTTAGCACAGTTTTATAATCATACATGTGCTGTGTCTATTTTGTTTTCTAGCATATCCCTAGAATTTAGACTATATCATACTTGGCACATAGAAGCCACTCACCCAATAATTGTTGGCTATCTGTGTGTCTGGAAGATGGATGGATAGATGGAAGGAAGGAAGATAAATGGATGGATGGGTGAATGGATAGAGAATGATGGATAGATGAATAGATAAATGGTTGGGTAGATGGAAAATGGATGGATGGGTAGATGATGAAGGATGGATGGATGGATGGGTGGTTGGTTGGATAGATGGTTGGATGGATGGATGGTTGGGTGGATGGATGGTTGGATGGATGATGGATGGATGGATGGATGGATGTGTGGATGGATGGATGGATGGACGGGTGGGTTAATAGATAATGGATGGATGGATAAATGCAGGGATGGAGAATGGATGGATGGATGAATGATAGATGGAAGGCAGATAAATGGATAGATGGATGGATAGATGTGGGATGGAGGGTGGATGGGGAACAGATGGAAAATGATGGGTGGGGATTGGATGATGGAGGGGTGGATGATGGATGGGTGGGTGGATGGTAGGTAAATGTAGCTGTGGACATATTACTCCATCTAAGGATGCATCAGGCCACAGTACACACTGTGAGAATTCCAAAAACAATCCTACGTTATTCCCTTTGGAGTCATTTGCTCACACACTAAAAGGGTCTTCTATGCCAGCCCCTATGGTAGGTGCCACAGACACTTTTAAAAAAAGTGTCCTGGGAAAAGCTGCACAGATTTTTCCCACTTAGACCTGGCCTAAATGTTAATTTTACAAATCCACCCATCCATCCACCCATTCCTCTATCCATCCATCAGATCTTCATGTGTCCAGCGCTGTGCTACGTACTGGGGATCAGAGATGAGTCACCCATCAGGTGCCAGAAGCACAGTTCTGAGGGTCCTAAAACCAGAACAAGAACTTTCAGGGTCAAAGAAAATTTTAATTTTTCTCCCTCGCATCAGAAAAAAAAAAAGAAAAGAAAATTTAAAAACCTGTGAAAATCTATTCCAGTAGGAAGGGCCAATGAAGGTAAAAGTACCTAAGATCCATGAATGTCATAAGGCAGCTGTGCTACTGATGTCCTGGAGAACAAGGGAGATCAGTCCATCCCTGCCCTTCTGGAACACCCAGCACGTAGCAGGGTCAGGCATCAGTCAGCCAGCAGGTCCCTGTTACTGCTCCCGTAGAGCTGCAGCCCTCACATGTCCTCTCCATCCCGGCCTTTGATGCCAGGTCCCACCTCCCATATTTAAGACCACAGACTCATTCGACAAATATTTACTGGGTCCCCTCGCTGCACCTACCATCATGTGAGGGGCCAGAGAGAAAGCTGTGGACAAGACAGCCCTCACTGAGCCTCCAGCCCCCTCCAATCATGATGTGTTCTGTGTCTTCACCCGTAATGTGACCCCCGTCCACTCTGACAAAGCAGCCCCTCACCTCAGTCCTGGGTGTACCTGCGCCTGTATCAGATGGATGGATGGCAGCATCCTCCAGTCCCAGCCCTCCCCCTGCCCGCATCATTGCCCCCCTGGTGTCCCAAGGTACAGGTGTCAGAGGAGACACGAGGACAGGTCATGAGCTGAGGTCTGGTGTGATCAGTGGCTAGACCACAGCAGGGGTGAAGGGTGGGGGGGCCTCAGCGATGGGGGTCTTGAGTAATAGAACTTATTATAAGCAGAGATAACAGGAATCTAGGAGGCACGGATTTGACCTTTAGTTCACTGAATGACTCTGGACTTTCCTTCCTTCTCTGTGCCTCTTTCTTCATATCTGGAGAGATTAGATAGCCGACAGATGGGGTTGATCCCAGTGTTCCTTCCCGCTGAGCCACGGATCCCCCACAGGCCCTCAGCACGGAGCTCAGACAGCCTCTCTCAACACTGACACCTCCTTCCCGTTCTTGACCTTGGACTCTGTCATGCTTGTGTCAACTGAACTGCATACTAGAATTGCCGGGGCAGGTTAAGAAAATCCTTAATCTCAGACCTTACCTCCAAACCCACTGAATTAGAATAGGGCCCAGTTATTTAAAAAAAAAAAAAAAAGAGGGGGTTCTTGAAGACAGTCCAATGTGCAGACAGGGCTGAGAACCACATCTAGATTTAAGCTTAGGAATTCCCTGATTTTTGTGGGAAAGAGGGAAAGCTAGAAGAGAGGACTACTTAGACAGGAATCAGGTCAACAATGTCGCCTGAAGCCCTGTCCGTGTGACAGCATCCTCCCCGCCCCTCCCTGCTCTAGCTGCTTCCCATCCTGCCATCAGGTTCCAAGAATTTCCCAGCATCCCTTTCACAGAAAGGAAACAACCCACCCAGGTTTGCTGAGGTGTGGTAGACAAATTAGTTCCCGTCCCCGCCCCAGCCCCCCAAGGCATCAAGATTAAGGCCTATGATTAATGATTTGCAAGTCAATTAATCAGCCACGGCTTTTGAAACCCCATTTCTCAAATTACTTCTCTTTGAACACAAGGGCTTTCTGACATCGCCTCACTGTCTCGAGACTCCCTTTCCCACTAATTGAAATTCCAAGATATTTCCTCTTCTTGTCAGCTTATTGGTATTAGTTGTTTGTAAAATATTTGCAAACAGATTACTGTTCACCTGTAGTGTGTCAGAGGTGAGCACTAAAACAATACTTTATGCTTCCAGCTCAAAGGAATGTGCAGATGATAGCTCACAAAATTATCTATGGGAAAGCTGATTTTTCATTTATTGATTTATTTTCACCACACCTACTTGCAACAAGTATTGGAGATGTATTACAATAAAAACACAGGTACAACAAGGCTCCAAACAACTGATTTATATGTTTCCCAGAAAATGAGTTTTTAAAGTCCTCCTTGTTGTGTGGAAGAGGTGGTGCATCTTCTTTAGAGGAGATGGTGCAAGCATCCAGAGGCCGTGGAGTCAAACCCCAGGTTTCAGCTCCTGTCCCCCCACCTGCAAGGAAGGAGCCCTGGGTCCCCAGTGACCTTGTTGTTTAAGGTCAGCGAAGTCACAAGAGCAAAGACACACAAAATTGTATAAAGGCTCCCATTCTGTAGAAGTCTATTTCTTTTTCAACAACAGCTCACGATAGGTGAGGGGACCCAGGACCCACATTCTTACCCCTGTGGCCGCACCCTGCCCTTGGGTCCTGGGGTTGTCTGTGTGTAGACAGATGGAAAGAGAGGCACCGAGAAGGGCTAGCTGCTCCCAGCCGCCGAGCATCATTTCTGGCCACATTCAGTAGAAGAGAAGGCAGTCTCCCGGCCTCAGCTCCGCACGGGGAAGGCCAAGGGGAGGAAGGACCATCTGCCAGCTCGGCTGGGCACGGCAGGATAACTGTCCTGCACTGTTCACTGTGAAACGAGGGGATGTGGGTCATAGACCCACTATCGGGCCTGTGGAAAAGGCTCCATAAAGGGTCGATGCTGTTTTTACCAAATAGTGACTGTAACCACTTGCTCTGTGTGCAGTTTCAAGCCACCGTGGAGGAAGGAGCCGTGGGGGTTATCGTCAACTTGACAGTCGAGGACAAGGACGACCCCGCCACAGGCGCATGGAGGGCTGCCTACACCATCATCAACGGAAATCCGGGCCAGAGCTTCGAGATCCACACCAACCCTCAGACCAACGAGGGGATGCTGTCCGTTGTCAAAGTAAGGACGCTTCTCCTGCTCCTCGCTCCTCACCAGACAGAGGGTCTCCCGGATGGAGAAGGTCAGGGAGAAGGCAGCCCTAGTCTCCTCCTGGGGCTGAAAAAGAAAAAGGCTCAGGGCTTAAGGGTGATTTATATCCTCACAGCCACAAAACCAACCTATTTCACAGGTTCTAGGAAACTCAAACATATGTGTAACCTTAAAAAGAAACCAAGTTAATTTTTAAACAAGATTTTCCATATGATTGATACTGAATTATCTAAGATATGCAAAACAGGACATGCAAAGATTTTTCTAAAGATCTCTGATCAAAAATGTGGATCATTACTTGTCTTTTTAGTCAATCTGAGCAGAGACCTGGTTGTTCTCTTAAAAACAGGAGATAGGGGCGCCTGGGTGGCTCAGTGGGTTAAAGCCTCTGCCTTCGGCTCAGGTCACGATCCCAGGGTCCTGGGATTGAGCCCCACATTGGGCTCTCTGCTCAGCAGGGAGCCGGCTTCCTCCTCTCTCTCTGCCTGCCTCTTCGCCTACTTGTGATCTCTGTCTGTCAAATGAATAAACAAAATCTTAAAAAAAAAAAAACAAAAAAAAAAACCAGGAGATAAACAGCAACTGGCCCTGGGAGCCCGAGTCCTGTCCTGGGGCTGCCATCACAAATGACCACACCCTCGGTGGCCTTAGGCTATGCAGACTTACAGTCTCTTATCTAAATTTTGGAGGCCAGAGCTCCAAAATCAGCTTCGCAGGGCTGAGTTTGGCAGCCCCCCTCTTGGAGGCTCTAAGGGACCAGCCCTGTCCTTATCTTCCCCAGCGGCTGGAGGCCACCCACCTTCCTTGGCCTGTGGCCTTCTCATATCTCTAGGACAAAGGCAGCATTATTCTATTTTTCTCTATTCCTGTCTCCTATTTCTTCCTTTGACTTCCTTGCCTCCTTCCTTTAAGGACCCCTGTGACTCCAGGGTTCCACGTGTATAATCCAGGATACCCCCCCCCCCCCGTGAGGTCCTGAGCTCACTCACATCTGTGAAGTCCCTTTTGTCCCATAAGGTTTCAGGGATCTGCTGGGGGTCAGATTGGGAGGTCGTTATTGTGCAGGGTCCCATACAAATTTCCACAGCCTTCCCTGGGGTCAGGACCCAGAGCTCTTGAGAATGGCAGATCTTGGAGACACTTCTGTCTTGCTCTGGAAGAGGAGGAGCTGGGTTTCTCCCAAGCCCTGTTCTTTCCAGGATTTTATTCATAGCGACCTCAGAGGTCTGGCTGAGAAGAGGAGCCCACGGGGCTTCCCAGGTCTCCTCTAATAGCACAGGCAACGGTAAGGTCGTCAGGAGCTCCTGACATGACTCTCCTACAAACCATTGCAGTTTCCAGCTGTGGAAGTCGAGCCCCGATCCATAAACGCTATAGGGAAATTTTCCAAACCTGCAGCTGGAAGACAAAGCTTGGGTAAATATACAGCCCCATCATAAATTCTAGAAGCGCACAGTCCTCCCCACTCTGTGTGTGTGAGAGCTTGTGGCACAGACACTGGAAGAAAACCAGAATCACAAAGAGGCGTTCTCTTCTCCCCACATCGCCACTGTGGCCAGCCATGCTGAGTCTGAAATGTTAGCATACAGGAGTGTCACCCGGGAGGCCAGTTATGACCCAGGTTCCCCGGCCCTTCTCACACTCGCATGCTGGGTCACCCTGTGAGGGAGAGGTGCCACGGGCCCAGGAGATGCTGGGGTTTGTAGAGCACAGCCTTGTGGATGAGCACTGCTGGACGATGTTTGCACCTGCAAATTCTTGTGGAGGAGGTGCCTGCAGCACCTTGAACTCCCTCTGGGCCTCAGTTTTACCAGTGAGTGGACTCCCTTTGCTTCAGAATTAAAATGGAGATGCCACCTCCGTTTGGCTGCTTGCCATGTGAATTGCTCTGAGAGCCTTGGGTTCTCTCTGCTTCTCAACCCACCTGTGCCAAAGGCCCCAGGACAGCTTTCTGCAGGCAGGCCTGGCCTTATTCCCCATGCTTTTCACTTTTCCAGCAACCCAGTTACTCCAGGATTCCACGTGTTTAATCCAGGATCCTCCCCTCATGGGGTCCTGAGCTTACTCACGTCTGTGAAGTCCCTTTTGCCCCATAAGGTTGGGGATCCGCTGGGGGTCATACTAGGAGGTCGTTATTGTGCAGGGTCCCATACAAATTTCCACAGCCTTCCCTGAGGGCATTCATTAGGAATGTCCTCAGGTCAACTAAGAGAATACCAGGCTGATAGTGGCTTAAATAATAAAGAGAATTTAGTGATTTCCATAAGTAGATGAAGATAGGTCAGTCTAGGATTGGCTGGCAGTTCTAGGGGTCAGAGAACCAGCAGGGGGCTCTGTAAATGCTTCTGGCTTTTTTCCTTGTGGACACAAAGTGGCTGCCAAAGCCCTGGGCATCACATCTTCCCTCTGTGTTCTAAGGCAGGTAGCAAGAAGGCAGCCAGGCAAACACGAGAGAGGGCTCTTAAGTGCCCTCTCCTCTCCTCAGGGAAGGAAATATCTTTTCCAGTGGTTTCTCAGATAATTTCTATGACGTATCATTGGCCAGATAACACGGGCCCATCCCAGCTGCAAGGAAGGATAGGAAGTACAAATCTGGCTTTTGGGCCCTCCACAGGAAGAGATGGGTAGGGGAGCACGGGGTGGGCACGGTCACTGGGCAATGAGCTGTTGTGCCCTAACCAGTTAGCAGTGAGCATACCGAAGAATGAGCAAAAATTACCAAAAAAAATGAGCAAAAAGAAGAATGAGCAAAAATTACAAAAAAAAAAAAAAGAGCAAAAATTACAAAAGTGTGGCTCCCAGGGGAGTCCCTCCTCCCTGCAGGACCAAATCCTAACAGTTCTGGAAAGCAAGTACCTCTTTCCTCTTTAAAACCTTCTGCTCAGCAATGCTCTTAGTTGCTTTGTAAACCTATTCGAAAACTGTCAGAGAGTTACCCTTTCCGCTGAACATAATCTACCCTGCATTTTAAGTGTATTATCTCTTCTGTCCCTGGAGGAGATGGAAATATCCAGAAAGCCTTGATCCCCAAACCCATAATAGGCTTGCAAATCACTGTTGGATCACTTTCAAACCCTCCCTCTTCCAGACAGCAAACTCCAGGTTCTTTACACTTCCCGTGTGGGCTGGCTTTCCTAGCCTGTAAAGACTCCATGATGCTTGTCCACACCCTCACTTGACACTTGATGAAATAGTAATTAGGTGGAATTTCTGGAACTTTATCAGAAGTGTTTCCAGTTCCCTCCCCTCCCTGACCTAGAGACCCTGCATCAGACAGATCACATCACTAAAGTCATATGCCCCAGATAAGGGAGGGTCTCTTCACCCAGCGTGAGCCAGGGCAACGTCCGGGAGGAGAGAGCCACGTTGCACCAGCTCCCGGTGGCCTGCCCAGGGAAACCCACGGCTGGAATTATTATAGCCAGGCACAGTGCACATGGGAATGAGCACTTGAGCGGCCCTGCCCTCCAGAAAGACACTGTATGACTCACTGCCCCTCTGCCCTCCCTCTGTGCACTGATCACTTCTCAAACCCTCCGAGGCCAGTGTGGCACCCAGGGGATGTCAGTTCTCCTTCCTTTCTCATCACACTCTCCAGGCCAAAGCGTGGCTCAGTGCTGCTTATTAGCTGTGTGACTGTGACTGAGTTACTCAACCTCTCTGAGCCTATTCCCTCATGGAGGAAAGGGGACTAAAAATGCCCACTATTATGATGTAAAGTGAGGACCGGGTACATTGACGCTCACAGAGCCCTCCTAGCACACAGTAGGTGCACCGTAAGGGATAAATAATGTCGTGGGATGGAATGAAGGGCTGTGGTGAAAACCAATGTATATTGTGGGGGTCGGGGAGCCATGGGTGTGCCCCACCAGTATGGATTGAATTGTGTCCCCCAAGAAAAGATATTTTGAAGTCCTTACCCCCGTCCCCCCTGAATGTGGCCATATTTGCAAATAGAGTCACTGCAGATGTGATTAGTTGAGGTCATGGAGGAGAGGGTGAGTCCCCCTCCAGCAGGACCGTGTTCGTGTGAGGAGATGACAGGGACACGCAGGGAGGGGGCTGTATGGCCACGGAGGAAGAGATGGGAGTGGGGCGGCTGCAGGCCACGGAACCCCGGGGAGAGGCAGGGAAGTTCCCCCCAAAGTTCTCAGAGCCAGCACAGCCCCATTCCCATTTGATTTTGTGCTTTAACACAGAAATTAACTGTGAGACAGTTAATTTCTGTGTTATTATGCTACACAGTCCTTCATCCGGCAGCCCTAGGAAACTAACACACCCACCAAGGTCCCTGACTAGTGGGAGCAGACACTCCCAGAGCCCCGAGTGCTGGCTCCCAGCCTCCGTCTTCCCAGCAGAACAGCCCACCAAAGGGAATGCAGGCCAAGCTCTGCCCACTGGAGAAAGCCTACAGCCGGCACCTGACTGCAGAGGGAGGCAAAAGGCCACCCACTGCCCTGAGATGGGGCTATTTGGCGATCAGGGAAAATTCCAGAGCTCCCCGGCACTAGGACTGGACTCCAGTAGAGACCATATCCCTGCTCCCTCCCTCTTCTGAGAAGGCACGCCAGTACCTCATGCTCCAAATCCCTGCCTCAGGCTTTGCTTCCAGACTCGGCTGGAGTCTCAGGGAATCCAGACAGAGCTATCATACACACACACACACACACACACACACACACCCCTATCATACACACTATCACTCACATACACACGCATGCACATCTGACATGTAAAAACACACATGTGCATGTTTACTATATGGGCACACGTGTACTGATCCAACAGAAACATACACACTTCTACCTACCATATAAAGAAATATGCATTTTAGCCATACTATGCAAAGGTCATGTGTAAATAAGCCAGACCACTTCCTCTGGGGACCCCGATCTTCTCTCCCTGCCTGGGTCTGCCCCACTCCGTGCAGCAAGTGGCCCAACCCTCCCACTCACCATGTCAGCCTCAACCCCAGGCCCAAATTCTGCTGTTCCAAGTCCCGTGGAGCTCACAAACGGAAGAAACCCCAGCCTGGTGGCTTTTCCATCGTGGTAGAAAAATCAGTTGGGCTAGATTTGGGATGAATGTCTTCAGAGCATGGCAACACCCTGGGCCCCAGTTTGAAATGTACGTCACCGAGGTCATGTATTTGGGGCGTCACTCGGGACGGACAGAAATCTCTTATGGAAAGGGATGGGGGGTGAGATATTCTTGCGTTACAGGGATGGAACCAACATCTAACTGGGTAGCTCCTCAGTGCCAGGAGCGTTACACCTGTTAACACTGTAAGTCCCTCTGGGAGTTGTTGCAGGTGCAGAGAGAGAGTCCTGTTACCATCAGGAAGCAATTCCTGTGGATGTGCGTGCGTGCATGCGTGTGTGTGTGTGTGTGTGTGTGTGTGTGTGTGTGTGTGTGCAGGGCTCTCTGCCCAGCTTCCTGGTCTCACGCTGCTGCCACTCCCCGTGGCCCTTACAACCTGTCCACCTTTTGCTTCCTTTTGGTCGAGTGCGAACCGACTCCCCGCACTCACTTTGGTCCTGTCCTTCCAGCAAGAGCATCCATGTGTCCTGGGTCTGAGGCGTTACCCACCCATCGTCCCAGTCAACATGAGGAAAATTACTTGAAATAAACAGCCTACCCTCATCTGACCTAAATGTCTCCCCACACGCCCTCGGTGACAGGAAATGTGACTTGTGCATCATCCCATGATTTGGAAAGTGGCCAGGTGAATGTCGTCTGTGTCGTACATGATGGGCAGGACCCCTATATTAATACTGTCAGCAGTGGGGTCTCCTGAACGTGATCTGATTTACTCTGCACAGCCGCTGGGGGAAGCGGATTCTACCAGCCCTTCGCGAAATCACCTAGAGTGGGCCGCATCTCAGTGACCCTGGAGCCAGGACCATCCACCATCATGCTGGAGGGTCCCTCCCAGGCACGGCCATGTGTCTCGTAATCCCTGCCCCGTATCTGACCACAGAGCCCCTACTCGTGGTGACCATTGAAAATTGCCGGCAGGCTTTTAAATGCCCTCAGGTGGGGAAGGGCCCCGAGGGTTAACCCCACGTGTCTCCAATCCTCTCCAGTCCTTTTCCCCACGCCACGCACTCCCCGGAAATGCACCCGCCAGGAGAAACTCTCCTTTTCCTGCTGTCCAGAAGCCAGCTTCAGCACTTGTGGCCAGGGAGATGGAAACATTAAAGATAGAATTTGGGGCTGCCTTTCCCCCTCGACCTCCCCCCATAGTAACCAAGGCAGGGTGACCCCGTAGTTGGTGAAGCTTAGGTTTCAACGTTGTTTGTTCCCGAGCCCCACGGAGTGTCGGAGTCGTGGGGCTACAGGTTACAGGTAGGAAGACTTGTAATGTCGGCGGGGTGAGGGCGTCATCTTTAGATGGTCTCAGACAGGGACCCTAACACTCTGGACTCACATCATGTGTTGTCACTTACTTCTCAATCTCAAAAAAAAACAAAACAAAAACTACCAGCTTCCATCCCAATTCTGTATCTGGACGTTGCATATCCTTCAGGAGGACCCCACGCTGCATTCACGTTAGCCCACAAAACCTGGCTCCATCCCCGATCACCCACACATCGGCTCGTGGGCTGTCGCAGGGACCTGGGGCAAAGGCGCCTTCTGCCCTCTGTAGCAGATACACATGCTGAGCCTCCCGTCTCTGCTTTCCAGCCCCTGGACTACGAGATCTCCGCCTTTCACACCCTGCTGATCAAAGTGGAAAATGAGGACCCGCTGGTGCCCGACGTCTCCTACGGCCCCAGCTCCACGGCCACGGTCCACATCACCGTCCTGGATGTCAATGAGGGTCCGGTTTTCTACCCAGACCCCATGACGGTGACCAGGCAGGAGAACATCTCCGTGGGCAGCGTGCTCCTGACCGTGAACGCCACGGACCCGGATTCCCTGCAGCATCAAACCATCAGGTGGGTGAGCCGCTCTCTACCTGGAGACCTGAGTCACGCAGAAATAGTATTTCTTTTCCGGCTGCAGGACTGGTTGTCAGGGGCGAACTAGCATTAAATTAAATCTGTTAGGGATCTGGGTAAGGAGAAGGTACGTGTCACAGTGAAGTCTGTGGCTGTTTGTATCAAGACCAGGCTGAGTCCGGGTGGGGGGCCTGCTGCCCCCACACCTGCTTCCCAGCAGTAGACCAGCTCAAGAGGAGAGGGACTTCAGGCTGTCTCTCTAAACGGCCAGAGGAGTCTGCCAAGCATAGTCCCTGAAGGAAAAAAAAAAAAAAAAAGAAAGAAAACAGTCTTTAAAAATTTCTGTCTTCATTTCTTAAGCTCTGTCCGGTGCTGAGAAGGAAGGTGTTTTCATGACAAGATTTAATTAAATGATCATTACCCACGGAGCCCTCGGAGACAAGCTGCTCTCCTCGGTGCCGTGTTCCAAGAGCAGCCCAAATCAGGCATGCGGGCCCAAACGCACGCTTGTCTCCACAAAAGAAAGTTATTAATCTTTCTCTTCCAAAATCTAATCTTCCTCTCCTAGGAGGAACAGATAATCAAGTATTAGATACACTTCTAATAAACACGGGTCGTATTTTCCTGATTCGAAACACCTGGAAACGTGTCACCGTCTCCGCGCAGCCCCGTTACCGGGGAGCGAGCTGGCCGGCACGCGGCGCACGTTCGTTTCCAATCCCAAAAGGCGATTTACTTTCAGAACAAAACTTTCCGAAATGCCGGACGGACGAGATACAGGCCTGCACTATACCAAATCCGATAATAATGTGACCCTGAAATCACCGCTCTGTTCTCTCTCTTTGCTTTTCCTGCTGGGTACCAGGCAAAGGAAATACACAATTTAAATATCAAAGAGCAAGTTTTCCTTAAGTCCTGAGACGGGGAAGCTGGTAGCTTTAACAGTGCGGACGCGCTCATTTAGGTTGTCTTTGTGGGAGCTTAACTGTCATTTTGTACTTGTACAACAGGAGGAGGAAGAGACGGCTCTGGGGTGGGGAGAAAGCAAATGTGGAGTTCCGATGGGCTTGTCATTGCTGAGCTGGGGTGGCGGGGAGCTCCACCGTCGCCGGGTGACTTGGGATGTCGCCAATCAAGAAGCCTTAACAGGGTGGCGAGGGGCAGATGCGTGGTAGACAGCAACAGCGGGAGAGGCGGTTCTGTCCAGGTTCTCTGTTTTAAGACCAGCTCTGGCCGACTTGGGCAAACTGGGGAATTTGCTAGAAGAGTCACTGCATCGCATATAGAACTAAAGAACATGCTGAGGGTCAGGCCCCGAGACAGCATAGGAACTCGGGGCCGTGCTGCGTCTCTAGGGGATGGGAAGGGACGGGCTGCCACTCCCTGGCCTCACAGAGAAGAACGAGTGGACGGCGGGCAGCTGATGGGAAGAGAGGAAGGGGATCCCACCTTGCAGATGGCGTGTGGAGCTGGGAATGTGGGACCGGCCTCGGAGAGCCGTCCCTGTACACTGAGGCAGGATTCTGGCTCCGGAGAGGGAGGGCGTGACTGGCAAGAGCCAAGACATTGAGGGGGTGTCAGGACCAGGCTGGGAGCCATGGTGCACAAGGACCTGGCTTCTAGAATGGGATGCACACGTTCCCCATTGTAGCACAGGCAGAACGTCCGTCTGCGGCACCCACCACGTGCAAAGAGGAGATCAGAGGAAGTGATGTGTTAGTTAATAGATGGGAGACCCGAGGGTAAGAGGCAGGAGTGTGGGAAGCTCCAGTCGGTCGTCATAGATCTGACCCTTCCCCGTAAGCTGCCAGTCCCTCTTCCAAGTGGCTTAGCCTAAGATGGCACGTATCAGCCCACGTATCCGAAAGGTGCACGGGCACGAGGGAACCCAGCATGAGAACTCGGGTGTCTGGTGTATGTTCTTACCGCACCTCTTGGCTCTGCTCCCCCCCCTCCACCCTGGGTGGGCTTCAGCCTCAGCCGTGCCTGAATGGCCACCAGCGGTGCCCGTCCTCAACCCTCCCACCAGGAAGAGATGCTTCCCGATTGAAAGTTCAAGTCCAAGGGCCACACTTGGGTCTCACTGAGCCAACTTGCACACATGCCCTTCTCGGAGCCAAATGGAGTAGCAGGGGGCAGGGGGGCGGCGTGCCCACCGTCCCACCATGATGACCGCAGGAATGCGGGATGCGTTTCCCAGGAGTCAGGAATGGGGGCTGAGCCATCAGGAACCACCAAGAGTCACTGAGACCACATTTGATATTATGAGTGCCCTCAGGAAATACCACTGAGGTGTTTCTCTGTGGCTGGTTTACTTACGAGCATTTACAAATCGAGCCCAGCAGTGTCTGGAGTTAACTCTCTTCCAGCCTTGAAGCAAAGTAGATGTGTGTGAGAGAGAGGGGGATTGAGAGAAGGACACATTTCTCTCTCTGGTCAGACTCCTCCCACACAGTCCTTCCCGCTGGGCCCCAGTGTGGCCGGCAGGGCTCCTTTCTGGGCCTGGCTCTCGGCTCCCTCCACCGCGCCTCCCCTGAAGCTGGTCCTGAGCTCATCAGAAGCAGGGACAGCATCACAGACAGGTGCAGCTCTTGTCACCGGAACTCTTCAGGGAGAAATGGTCCATTAATTACTTGCAGCCGTTGATCCTTCCCCTTCCCTTTTCCTTTCCTCCCCTTTCTCCCTCCCCCTCCTTCCTCTGACTCTCTCCAGCCACCCTGTCTATCCCTATCAATATTCCATTCCAAGATTCTCTGTGACTCAGCCCCAAGAACCCCATTTTCATCTCCAGTGACTCACCAGGCCCTGGGAGCTTTTGAGCCCAGGGGGAGATGCCCCTGACACAGGTCCTGCCTCAACCCTGAGGGCAGGCTCCTTCCCTGTCAAAGCAGGGAAACCTCCTCCCTACCCCGAACCCACACCAAACTTACAAACTTTCCAGCCGATTCCCATCCCAGCTGGTGTCCTGTCTCCCGTGATGAAAGGCGCGTCTTGTCTCAGACATGAGGCTGGCACAGCCGGCCCCTGGTGGGCCCTCTTTCATCTCACCAGGAAACAGTCAAGTCTGTGAAAGGCGCCTTGATCTCTGAGAAGCCTGTAACGCTGAAGACAGGAGGTGTCCGGGCATCAGAGTGAATATTCTCACTAAAAAGCCTGAGTTATTAAAACTTGTTAAAAAGCCCATCGTCTCGCTCTCCGCCGAATCAGAATGGACATCCACGGGCTGGTGACAACGAAACTCTTCTTTTTAATGACTTCTATCTCCTTATCCTTATTATAAAGTTAAGATAGTTCATGGAGGAGACTTTGGAAAAGGCAGTTGAGAATAAAGAAGAGAATAAAGAATTGGTAATCATCTCGCACAGGAAATCCCCTCCTAACAATGTGGGTATATCTCCGTCCAATGTCACATGTGAGAAACCTTCCATTTTTATTACCAGAAATGACTCCCATCACCCGTCCTGTTTTGGAACCTGCCTTGTCTGCTTCCCAGGACATGGTGAACAGCTTCCCAGGTCAAGACATGGCCATTATTTTTAATTGCTTGATAGAATTCTATTATCTTATTACATGGACACTCTCATTTGTTCATTCATTTCCTTGTTATTAGATATTAAGAGTGTTTCTAATTGTATGCAATTATTTTTTGAAAAGGTCAGTGGACATGCTTACAGCTAAATTGTTGAATGCATCGTTAATTTCCCGGAGAACTTTTTTGAAAATACTTTTCACCCAAAGTATTGGTATTATTAATGCCTTTTGTCGTAAAAAGAATTCTTCCTTTTTTATACCCACGCAGTCACATTTATATTTTCCCTTAAGATCTGAGTTGATGTCAAGATTAGAAAGCCTCTCGGCTCTGCCTCCCTCACCCCATCCCCCTCTGCACACCGCAGCCTCGGCTCCACACCCCCAAGACAGGAGCCCAGCATTTCCCCGTGACACTCATGACATTCTGGTGTCTCTAATAAGGAGCAGACTTTGCAACTGAGCTTGTTGGCTAATTACTGTCAGAAGGAGCAGCTCACTGATCCTTACGCTACACTGGAAATGTATGACAAATGACAAAATGCCTTTGTCCCACGTTCTCCACCAGTGAAATGAATACCGGGGAGGACCCCTTGGGCCCTATTGATTCCGTTGCTTTGGGGAGGCAGCCGGCGGGCCGCTCAGTCCTTTTCAACAGCCTGAGAGGACTTATCTCATTGTCTTTCACAATCGGGGGATTTCCTTGGGGGCACCCAAGTAGCAATTCCTATTTTGAGCATTTTTTGAGACCGAGCTCATCTTGTCCGGGGTCTACAATAAACCACACTGCAGCAGAGGTTCCTGACTACACACTGAATATATAAGCCATGTGTTGAGAAATCTCGTTCGTACCGACATGAAATGACCTATCATTGCTCAACATAGTTTTGGAGAAAACATTCATCCAGGGAGCCCTGCAAGGGTGGGTCGAGCAGCGCTGTATCTGTGAAGATTGAGTTTGGCTGAACATAACATGAAAATTAAAAATGACCATGGCTCAGAAAAGATAGAACTCTTTTTTTTTTTTTGGTCTCCCAGAACAGAAGTCTAGAGTAGCCACGGCAGGGCCCAGGGCTCGTATGGCAGTCCCACAAAACTGTCACGAGGTCCAGTCTCCTTCCTGCTCACCACTCGACTACCTCCAGGCTGGTATCCCCTTCCTCATGGGCTGTAATGGTTGCTAGTGCTCCAGCCTTCATGTCTACATTCCAGACAGTGAGATGGGAGAAGGGGGAAGAAGCGCATCGGGTCTCCTGTCTTTTAAGGAAACGTCCTAGAAGTCAGCCCCATTACTGTGTAAATCTCATTAGCCAAAATTAGTCCCATGACCATACCTAACTCCGAGGGATACCAGACCGTATGGTCCTTTAGCTGGGTAGCAACTAGCTTTTGAAACTGGGATTCTTTACAAATTAAGAAGGGAAGAGAGGATGCAGTGTAGAGTAACTAGACGTTTCTGCCATGGGGAA